CCTACTGGATAATTTCTCTGGTGACTTTATTTAAAGTTTTGCAGTGGCTTTCAAGGCCCTACACTAGTTCAAAATTTATGGCTAAAAGAATTGCATGAAAACTTCTAGCAGCTTTCCATTATGTTTGTCAGAAGTTGAAACATCTTTTTCCATATTTCATGAGAATACAAGAACCAATTCCATACTTCAAAAAGAGTCAAATTGCTTATTGTGATCAGAACTAAAACTATTTGAACTGAAAGTAAAGATTTTACTATTCGGACCAAACACCTAACAAACAAGTCACTGTTTAGTTAAATGCTCGACCTCAGTTGCACTAGATACAGTAGGATGAAGTGGAGGCTCAGCTCAGCACTTCCTGGGTGCTAAATGATGTGTCAGGCACTGCTAGAGACCCCGGAGATAGAGAACTGAATAAGATTGAGAGGATTAAAGGTCTAATGGGGCAAGAGAGTTACGAAAAGATATGACTTCGGCTTGGTATCGTTACCATCTAAGTGAGAGGTCTGTATCTCATAGGAGATATTTACCTCAAACTGGGGCATTCAATGCAGGTTTTCCTCAAGAAGACGACACTTGAACTACGTCTTAAAAGATGAGTGAAAATTAGCCGGGTAGCAGGAGTTCCAGACATCCTGAACAAAGTCACAGCTGCCTAAATTGCTCACATCATGTGTATGTGTAGTGACACCAAAAGACTGGGAAAGTGTGGGCTGTGGTGGGATGTGAAGCAGCAGAGTCAAATGGGAACCACGTCGGAGGCCCTTGGTAAGACCAATTAAGGAGTTAACAGTAATAACAGAAGCTGATATTTATTGAGCATTTACTGTGTTGCAGGCACCATGTTAAATACTTTAAAACAATATTTTATTTAATCCTCACCATAACTCCATAATCCTCATTTTACAAATGAGACCAGGGATGACCAGTAGGTAAAGTAACTACAACAGGCTACACAGCCAGTAAACGGGAAGTGGGTTTGGAACCCAGGACGGCCTGATTCCAAAGCTTATACCCTACACTCTTCTACCACCAGCCTATCCTCAAAGAGAACACTAAATGAATGCACTGGGTCCATCATGCTGCCTATGGAATGGAGAAGGTAATTAAAGGCTGCCCAACGGGGGCTCTGTGATAAGGCAGGGATAGGAAAGTGAGATTCAAAATACATTCAATGGGACCTAGAAGGAAACATTCAACATGCACATCCTCCTAGTGCATACAACAACAAAAAATGAGGCTTTTGAAAATGAAGTATAGAAAATAAAACACCAGTATTCCATAATGCTTTCAAATATAAAGAGTTAAAACATGTATCCTTTTCTTTACATATAACATGCTCCCAGCTGTTAAATTCAATGAAGGCAAAGACCAGGTCTGTCTTATTCATCTGGGATGGTGTCCCAGGTCGGAGCGTCCTGCCTGGCAAGAGATACTCAATAAATATGGTTGAAAAGGTAGAAGAAAAAAATGCCCACTTTTTGCAATGATATCAGTGAGATCCAGAATTAAAAACTAACCTTACTGAAAAAATTAAAAAGTCATGTTCATAATTGAGTAGAAAACATGTAGTAGTTACGTTGACTACACAGACAACAGTCATCATTAGGGATTGCTACATTGAAAAGAAGGCATGAGTTCAAAATGTGATTAGTATTTTGTATAAAACATAACTCATTAAAAATGAGATGTTGTTAAAGGGAGTGGCCTAAAGGTAAAAACGTATTTTTATGAGGGCGAAAAAAAAGCACAAGTAGACCAAAGATAAGATTTGGGGCCTAATGATGTCTAGTCTCTTACCCTGACAAAACAAGCAGGTTATTAAAGAGATCTGAAGAACCTGTATCCCTATAACACTTTTACAAATTCTTTGTCCTCAATAAGAATCTACTTTTGGGAATCTGAAAAGTCATATTTTTCAGACCTGAAGAGCTATTGTACACTTCACAGTTTTCCCCCAAAGAGTCATTTCTTAATTTTGATCATTTAGGAAGAGTGAATGTACTAAGTCAAAAACAAGGAAAAAAAAAAACTTTCTATTTCTTAGTGAAATTTGTTCTTATATTTAAATCCTTTGCATACTACTAAACAGAAGTACAGAGGCTACTAAACAGAAGATAGATTTTGGGGCTTTTCTATGCGACGTAAAAGGAGCCTGTTGTTTATTAAACAATCTCATTCCCTCATATATTATCTTGCATCAAGATATTTTGAAAAAATGTTTTCAGTTTACCAGTTATGTTAGAAAAATTCTGAAACCATTTACTTACATGAAAAATTAAAATGTAAGTAGAATTAGGTTTCTCATCTTCAATATATCTATCTTCAACCTTCGGCCAACTTTGAAAATTTAATTTGAATCAAATGAATACAAATTCAAAATATTCATTAATTTAACCATTTTGAAACTTCAATTCTATAAAAATAGGAAATCTGTGGGCCTTGTTAAACTGTCTAAATACCCAAATAAAAAGCCACCACGCTTTTATGCTAATTGTTTAAAAGTGTGTATATTGATGAAATGAAAGTGACTCATGAACTATTGGGTCTGGAATTTGCAAATCATAAATCTTATCCTTGTAAACAGAACCTAACAACATCAGGGCCTGCTAATTTCCTTCTTCTATAATCTGGAACAAAAGTTTTAATGATTTTTAACATCCACAGAAAATTAAGGGTGCCATTTTAAATGTTTATTAGCAAAATACAACTTAGGTTTAAGAGTCTGGAGGAAAATGAGAGACAACTGAACATTCTGGTACTGCAATGCAGGAAAAAAGCCAAGAACGAAACACTAAGATTTTATTAAAACCATAGGACTCAAAAGTGTGTTAAGACTTTTTGCTTGCAATAGTGCCTCTTCCTAATTAGATTAAAAACTTCCATCTCCATGCCACCTTCAATGTATGCCATAATTTTTAAAAAGTTCCCAATCCACTTCAAATACTCTGAAATTTACAACTGACCATGATGCGCGTTTTTTCTAGACAAACCAAAAGGTAAATCTGCCCATGTCTCTGGATAAATAAAAAGAGTGCGTCAGGGTGATGTGGACTGTCAACTCCTGTACATTTCATCCAAAGTCTACATGGGTCATCTCCAAGTCACCAGAAGAGCTAGGGGAAAGGAGGGGAGGGCCACGGCACGTAAGATGTTAAACACGAAGATGATGTAAAATTACCCAGATTCAACCTTGCCATTTTACAGATGA